CTGACTGCCACACACACATACTCCTCAAAACATTAGATTCATCCGCACTGGAGCCGTGCCGCTGCACAACCCATGCAAGCTAGATAATTCCGCACTCAGCTGCAATTTCAGGTTTTCAAACAGAGATGACGACAAAGAGGCAAAACTTACGGACTGCAGCTTTAAGTATTGAGTTTTATTTATTTATTAATGTTATAATATATAATAATAATATTTCAATTTAATTTTTTTGTTTTGTATTTAGATTTATATTCTTCTTAACTTTAATATATATTTTAACCCATATGAAATGTATATTTATTTATTTTTCTGCAAATGAATAATGCATATTTTTATTGTGAACATTTCCAAAAATAATGTTTTAATATGTAATAATAATGTTTTTAATAACATGCATTGTATGTATAAAATGTTCTTAATATGTATGAAGTATTGAGTTTCAGAAATTCTTTCTTCTCTTCATAGTTATCTGTTGCCCCACCTTTTGCCCCCCAAACCTGCCCTGGACATCCACGGCTTTCGGCACCAGAGCAACAACTCCATTCAGCGGCATTTTAAGATGAGCTTTGTTCCTGCGGGATTCTGGGAGCGCTTTATAGCCAGGATGCTAATTAGTTTAAACCAGATGGACGTGCAGGTAAACACACACCCTGAGATGACAATCTAACCGACCAATAAAAGTCAGAATTGCAGTCATTGCAAACGGAGAATTAGAGACCACACGCTGACAATGCTTATGGCTGGGAGTCCACAGCAGCCCATGAAACCGCATGTTAAGACGCTTTGCACGCTTTCGCAGTCTAATTTTCCCCAAATAGCCCTATACAAAAACTTTGGCAAAATTTGGTAATGCATAGGGCTGTTTGGGGGGGAAATCTTATTGCCATTTTTCTGATATTTATTTTTTTGTTTATTTATTTTTAACAAAATAAATATAATTTTTTCAAATAATTTTCTATAAAAATAAAAAGATCATATATTTAAACAAATATATATAATAATAATAATAACAACAGTTTTATTTATAGTATAACTATAAAAATTCTATACGTTATATTATTAAATTATCATTATTATTGTTGTTAAAAATATTAATATAATTGACAATATGACTATAATCATTATATTATATTATATTATATTATACAAAATAAGAAATATATTAAAAAATATTTTTCAATAAAATAAAAAAATTATATTATAATACAACTATTATGGGAAATTCGAGCATGGCACTGCGTCATTACGTCATGTCTGTAAACATAAAGAAGTTGTCCCAGCTACTAGGCTATCGCATGTGCGGATCCTGCAGGTGGTCAATCGTTTATAGCCTTTTCTCACAGCAGCCAGAATAATTAAATGTTTCATTTTGATGGGAGATTGTAATCCATAAAGGATTATGTTTTTATGAAACACGTGAATGAAATTAAATTATATTCCAGTTATAAATGTGCTTCTGATTACAGATAGCATACGTGGGATTACAAAGATTTGTATTTTAAAGAAAACCAGTTCGAAGGGAGCAAAATTTGCTTTTTGGGTTAAAATAATTTCTCAATATGAAATTCGAAGAGTATGACAATTAGATTAGACTGTGCAGAAATTGAAATCTACGCGCTAATACACACTATACTCATAGTCACCAATGCTGATGTTGTTAACATTAATCATTTGAGGATAAAGTATAACAATAATAATAATTTGAACGGTTTGATGTGATATGAGCTAACCGATCTTCAGATTTAATCACCATTGGTAGCACGATTTATGGTAATGCTTGTTTCCTCAGTTGGTCAGAACAAACGTGGCAGACTTGTTACTTGTTCAGAGGGCAATATACGGTAAAAATGCTTATTTGGGTCATATATTCCAAGACGTAGGCTAGAATCTGTGATTGCGAAGTACAGTAAATATCCACACCGGTGCGGTGACTGACTGCCACACACACATACTCCTCAAAACATTAGATTCATCCTCGCTGGAGCCGTGCCGCTGCACAACCCATGCAAGCTAGTTAATTCCGCATTCAGCTGCAATTTCAGGTTTTCAAACAGAGATGACGACAAAGAGGCAAAACTTACGGACTGCAGCTTTAAGTATTGAGTTTTATTTATTTATTAATGTTATAATATATAATAATAATATTTCAATTTAATTTTTTTGTTTTGTATTTAGATTTATATTCTTCTTAACTTTAATATATATTTTAACCCATATGAAATGTATATTTATTTATTTTTCTGCAAATGAATAATGCATATTTTTATTGTGAACATTTCCAAAAATAATGTTTTAATATGTAATAATAATGTTTTTAATAACATGCATTGTATGTATAAAATGTTCTTAATATGTATGAAGTATTGAGTTTCAGAAATTCTTTCTTCTCTTCATAGTTATCTGTTGCCCCACCTTTTGCCCCCCAAACCTGCCCTGGACATCCACGGCTTTCGGCACCAGAGCAACAACTCCATTCAGCGGCATTTTAAGATGAGCTTTGTTCCTGCGGGATTCTGGGAGCGCTTTATAGCCAGGATGCTAATTAGTTTAAACCAGATGGACGTGCAGGTAAACACACACCCTGAGATGACAATCTAACCGACCAATAAAAGTCAGAATTGCAGTCATTGCAAACGGAGAATTAGAGACCACACGCTGACAATGCTTATGGCTGGGAGTCCACAGCAGCCCATGAAACCGCATGTTAAGACGCTTTGCACGCTTTCGCAGTCTAATTTTCCCCAAATAGCCCTATACAAAAACTTTGGCAAAATTTGGTAATGCATAGGGCTGTTTGGGGGGGAAATCTTATTGCCATTTTTCTGATATTTATTTTTTTGTTTATTTATTTTTAACAAAATAAATATAATTTTTTCAAATAATTTTCTATAAAAATAAAAAGATCATATATTTAAACAAATATATATAATAATAATAATAACAACAGTTTTATTTATAGTATAACTATAAAAATTCTATACGTTATATTATTAAATTATCATTATTATTGTTGTTAAAAATATTAATATAATTGACAATATGACTATAATCATTATATTATATTATATTATATTATACAAAATAAGAAATATATTAAAAAATATTTTTCAATAAAATAAAAAAATTATATTATAATACAACTATTATTATAGTAGTATTATAATAGTACAACTATAAAAAAATATTATTTATTATATTATATTATTGTTGTTTTTAAATAAAAATCAACAAAACATGTTTGTTATATTTTTCTGTAAAATTAAAAAGCAAGTATTTAAGAAAAAAAATATTTTATTTATACAATTTTTGACAATTGACAATTAGATTAGACTGTGCAGAAATTGAAATCTACGCGCTAATACACACTATACTCATAGTCACCAAAAAAAAAAGCAAGTATTTAAGAAAAAAAATATTTTATTTATACAATTTTTATATGTATTTTATGTATAGAATGACTGTTATATTTTATTATATTATATTATATTACTATAATGCATCAATTAATTCAATGACAGGATGCCATACAGGAAGTGAGATGATATCTTTGCAACGCTTTGGCTGTTTGATATGAAACTTGCTATGAATCATTTTACAAAAACAGATTGGTGACAGCGCCACCTATTGGCAAAAGTGCAAAAGTATCTGTCGCAAAAACTTATTGTATTTCTGAGGTCCCACTTTGTACTATTTTGGACCAGTTTTGCATATTGTTTTGTTTGTTTCGCTTTTCCTCTTACAGTGTTTGTTGAATCTTCGCCAAAATTGGTTCAGGTCATACACAGACAAAGACAAAACCACACAAATTCAGTTACTGGATTTTATTCTCCAGAAAAGCCTTAACAATTTTGCTGGCGAAGACACCAAACAGGAAGTGAGTCATTATCTTGGCTAAGCCTTTGCTTATTGACACACAGTTTTTCTTTGTATCAACGCCACATTGATCTGAGAATATCATGCACACTTGTAGCGCCACCTACTGGTCAAAAGTTATAAACCAACTAAATCTGCTCAGTCATTCAGTATCCCATTGGAGGTTTGGCCATGTAGTTGCTACTTGCAGCTGTATTTTTAATGATTCCTTACATGAGTTCTCAGGTGAAAGTGACGTTTAGGCCGTGTTCATATGTCTACCTGGTTTCAGTCGACAGATTTTGATGACTGTCTTTGTGATTTTTCGTAATAGGCATTCGAGACCAAAAGGCCCACGAAGAACCAAAGGAACCACAGTACGGTGATCTACAGCTTTGCGGGAAATCAGCAGCGCAATCGCTGCAGCACTTTCCGCGTCCGGCGCAGTCAGACCATCTACTGGAAAGAAGGGCTGCTAGTCACCTTTGATGGCGGATATCTGAGGTTAGTAAGGGTTTGTTTTTAGTTTTTATATTTAATAAATAAAAATATATTTGTTATCAACCTTTCTCTTACTTCATTCACCCAGTGTTGTTAAAAACATGTTTTTGTTCATTGAAATAAAGCTGAATTAAAATACTATATATAAACGATTAATAAAATAAATGTTACCAAATAAACAATAAAAAGGCAAAAAAAACTAATGAATTACCATTTTAAGACATTTTTGAGAAAATACATAAATACCATATTTGTTGTCAAAAGGTTGAAAAACAAATAAATAATTATTATTATTATTAATTTAAAAAATAACTCTCTCTATATACAGTGCACAGCATAAATGAGTACACCCCCTCTAAAACTTAACAAATTCAGCAATTACTCTTTACTTAGAATACATGTTAGGGTTCTTTGGAGATATAATGTTCCAACAAGCCTACTTGATCAGTTACCAAAGAAGAATGCCAAAATGATTCAGCAAAATAAGATTTTCTTATCAAAGTGATAACATTTTGTGTTACAAAAATGAGTTCACCCTCCTGAAAGTTATTAAATAAAAGTAAAAAAAAAAAAAAAAAGTGAATAGGTTTAAGGGTATTTTTGATCAACGGGTAAGAAATTTGA